GCCGGGACATTCGCGCCCGTCCCCACATCGCAGCACAGCAACCCAGCTTTCCGGGTGTCGGTCGGCGGATTTCGTTTTTATTCGCCACGACGCCGACCGCGGTCCCCTGCGGCCCCCTTACGACGGTCCGTTCAGGGTAATACGTCACAGGGACAAGAGCCTGGTGGTGGACGTTGGTGACAGGCCTGAGACTGTGTCCGTTGATCGGATTAAGCCTGCTCACGTGGACGTTTCCAGGCCGTTGGAGTTGGCTCTGCCCACACGTCGGGGCCGCCCTACCATGGCCCGCCCCCCTCGGCCCCTGTGGTCTGTACGCGCCGGGGTCGGGTGGTACTTCCTCCCAGGCACGAGGATTTTGACTCTGGGTGAATACTGGGGGGGCTTGTGTGGTGATTGACATTATTCACCCACGGATCTATGGGTTGGGGTATTGTTCTGTACGGACATTTTAGTGAACCGGACTTCCTGTTTCCGCCGGTCTTCGCTTCCCGGGCATGAAGTTGTTTACATGTGTTTTCAGATGCTATATAAAAGTCTAGCTTGTACCTTCGATACCCCGCCTCCGACTCCCGTCTCTCTGCACTACAAGTCCCTCTTATCCATGTATTGTTTTTTTTTTTTTACTTCTCTTTGTGTATGAGATTTCAAAAACTGACATTCTATAATCATGCCATTCATTTTATTTTTTGCAAGTTTATAATGCACTGCCTGTCTTAATCTGCTGCTGCTGCTGCTGCTGCTGTTGTACATCAGGGGGATTGTTAGTAGATTAACTAATTTTGGTTCACTAGAAAGTACTTTCCCTTCATGGTCTATTGTGCCCATTGGGAAATGAGCACAGAGCAGCAGGTGCTTGTGGCTAAATTTAAATAAACTTCACAAAATGGCAGGTTTTAGGGAAATATTTGTCTCTGCTCTGCTGGTCTATGGTTGTGGAGTAAAGCAGCGTCAAGATGCCAAATAGCAGTTGTGTAAAACTTTGAACATGATCCATTTGCTGAACGTGTGTATGCTGAATGAATTCGCATTTCCTTAAACGTTTGTGTCATTTAATAGGGTTGCGCAATGTCTTGTTTTTTTAAGGCCTGTGTGTGGTCAAAAAGGTAGAACTGAGCAGTACACTTCAATATCTGTTTATTTATTATATCATCTCATGATGCAATATTCAACAATGTTATCACATATTTTCCTAGTATCGTATAACTCTATTCAATAGCTGTGTGATATGCTGAAAACCAGACACTGATATGCTCATTTATTTTATTTCACTGGGGACTAAGGTGTCAGCTTGATGCCCAGACTGTAATGGTCTTGGGTATTGCTGTGAAAAAGGTAATTTACATTGTATAGTCTTTAGTTTATGGGAGTATTTTCCTTTGTCTAAGCTATATTGAAACATACTGCATGTGAGATTTATAGCTGGATTCTCCAAGTAACAAATGGTAATGATGTCACTTGGCAAGTAAAATAAATCCACTATACGTTTAGCAGCTTTAGTCAGGTCTATTCCCTGTCCACAAGGAGCTTTTAATTACTGCTGATAGGGTCATAAGGGGCATCCTCTCTTCCAAGAAAAACATTGAAACTATGGACAGATTTTCAACACTTTGCCTAAATAGTCTAGAGCAGGGGTTCCCAAACTTTTTCAGCATGAGACCCAAAACAGAAATGTTGTGGTCCTAAGGGACCCAAGCTAAAAAAATGTCATGATTTTCCATAATATCTACATTTATAAACAAAGAATGCAACACACCATGAATTTAAAATGTAAATGAAAATGTTTATTTAATTATAAAAGTGCTTCGCAGCAATTAGGTTTCTCACCATAACAACCTTCCCTTTGAGCTTGCCCAGAAAAAATAAGGATCAAAGCAAAAAGACGAAACATGGGAAGTGCAGTCAAGTATATACAGTACAAATCAAATTTAAATGATACAATTAACAAAAGTGCAATATTAAGTTTGTCACTAGCTCAAAAACTATGTACACACCATTTTAAAGTATTTTAAATGAACAAAGAACAAACATGTTGTAAACAGAAAGGGACAAAACACTAACTATAGGAAGTGCAGTCAAGTGTAGTACATCACAGGTGAAACCACATTTAAATTATCAGAAGTGCAACATTAAGTTTGTCACTAGATCAAAAACTATGTACACACACTTTTAAATGAACAGAGCTGTTGTAAAACACTCTGAGAGACAAAGAAACTCCAACACTTGGCAACTGATTAACTTTACTGACTTATTTACAATATGTTCTCATCTGACATGCTAGAAGGGGTATTATATCATATATTGATACATGATATAATATAATAACAATTACATCTAATGAGAGGTATGTGGCTGGTTGAAGTTTTCAACCAGCAGATCTATTCTGGGCTGGGTTTTTGACAGTGCCAATCTGAGGTCATGCTCAGGATTTAGCCTGTTTCTGTATTTGTTTTTCAGGTATGCTAAAGTAGAAAACCCAGATTCACACAAGTATGTGGTGCCAAACTGTATCAATACTTCTACAGCTATCTTAGCCAAGCAGGAGAACTCAGCCTGCTGGAAATGAGCAACCCAAAACTGTGCCAAAGTGGTTGTTTCAAACAGCATCTTACTGCCCCTGTTGACCTGCAGTGTGACCAGTGCCTCTAACTCTGCCTGACTGAGACCCAGGTCTTGTGATGGCACAGCTTGGAAGGGAAACTTCACCCACTGAAGGTTTTGAGCTCTCTGTGAGTCAGGGAAGTACCGCTTGAAGTTCTCCTGTAGTTGAGACAAGTGCTCGACTATGTTTTGCTTCACAGAGTCACTCAAGGGAAGACCGGTGCTTACTTGGTAGGCAGTGAGGACAGGAAACATTGCCAGTTCTCCTGCAACCAGCTGGGAATGCCACAGACCAAGGCGTGCTTCGAATCCTTGTATTCCATCTTCAAGATCCAATATGCTGTTCTCTTTTCCTTGAAGGCTGGTGTTCAGCATGTTGAGCTTGTTAAAAATGTCCACAAGGTAGGCAAATCTTGCCAACCAGCGCTTGTCCTCAAAATGCTTGGCAAGGTTAGCGTCCTCATTTTTCAGGTAAGCCATGACCTGCTCTCTCAGCTCCCACACTCTCTGTAGAACTTTTCCCTTGGAGAGCCACCGTACCTCACAGTGGAAGAGTAGGTGCTCATGCTCTGCCCCCATTTCCTTGCAGAGCTCTCTGAAGAGCCTTGATTGTAGTGGTCGCTTTTTTATTACATTTACCACTCTAACAACCACATCAAGAACCTCACCTAAGTCCTATTGCAATGCTTTGCTAGCCAAAGCCTCCCTGTGGATAATACAGTGTGTTACCTTCACATTTGGTACCACTTTATGTACATGAGCCAAAAAATCAGACCTGCACCCAGTCATGCTCCTTGCACCATCAGTGCAAAACCCTATACAGTTTTCCCATTCTAATTTCAGTTCTTTCAAATGTGTGTCCACCACTCTGAAAATATCCTCTCCCCTTGTTGTTGTGTGCATTTGGTCACAGAATAGGAACTCCTCCTTGATATCTTTACCACTAATGTATCTGGCAAAGACCATTAACTGGGGAATCCCAGCAACATCCACAGACTCGTCTAGCTGCAGTGAAAATAATTTGTGCTGCAGTATTTCCTCTGTGACTTTTTTTTGGATGTCAGCTGACATATCCTTGATTCTGGATGCAACGGTGTTGTTTGAGAGTGGGACAGACTCAATTTTGTTCACTGCATCCTCACCCAAGACAGAGAGACACACATCTTTTAAGACAAGGCTTGATCAGCTGGAATGGGGCTTCTTTGCTTTGGCAATGTGGAGGCTGACTTGATATGATGCCCTCAGTGCCCCTCTGTTCCCTTTGAATGCCTGATAATAACAGAGAAGATATCATCATTAACATTGCTGGGTTATTGGGTAATTTTTAACACCAGCCGGCGTACGCTGTATACCTAATGTGGAGCTGGCAACCGCATTTATAGCGCATTACATTACATGTTACTTGTTAGACGCTTTTATACAAAGCGACTTACATACTCAATACTGTGGGGAATCCCCACAGGGGGATTTTGACAGGGTTGTTGCATAAAAGATCCAAGCACACACAGAAGAAATCTGAGAGCAGACATTTCACGAGCGCACAGAAACAGCCTGAGTGCGAGGAGAAGCTTTTAAGCTGGAACACAGGAAATCTGTAGGCAGCAATATATCTGAGTGCAAGCGTACAGTTTGAGCAGAAGCAGAGCAAATCTAATGGCTCGTTTCCACTGCAGGCCTCGCTCGGTTTGGTTAGGCCTTATTAGGCCCGGGTCACTTTAATGCTGCGCTTCCATTACAGTTTAGGAACTGGGGTAGTTACTATAGTAATGCAGTGTAGGCGGAGCCGTGACGTCATCTTCAATGAGCGCCCCAGAAAAAAAAGATTACCTCGAACCGATTCGATTGCAATATATACTAGACTGGCAGATGTGAGGTGTTGTTCGGATATGTCGTATTTATTCTTGGTCGCTGACATAAGCGGTACTGTGTCTGTCGACACAAACGTGAACCAAAATGAAAACAGATCAAACGACTTGTCTATACTTCTCGACACTCGAGACTCACGAATTCTTCGATTGCNTGCCTGAAAATAACAGAGAAGATATCATCATTAACATTGCTGGGTTATTGGGTGATTTTTAACACCAGCCGGCGTACGCTGTATACCTAATGTGGACCTGGCAACCGCATTTATAGCGCATTACATTACATGTTACTTGTTAGACGCTTTTATCCAAAGCGACTTACATACTCAATACTGTGGGGAATCCCCACAAAGGGATTTTGACAGGGTTGTTGCACAAAAGATCCAAGCGCGCACAGAAGAAATCTGAGAGCAGACATTTCACGAGCGCACAGACACAGCCTGAGTGTGAGGAGAAGGTTTTAAGCTGGAACACAGGAAATCTGAAATCTGTAGGCAGCAATACAGTGCAAGCGTACAGTTTGAGCAGAAGCAGAGCAAATCTAAGTGCAAGCAGGCACTATTTGAGTGTGAGGACAGGGTTTGAGGGAAAGCAATACATATTCTGAACCTGAAATCAATAAAGTATGCTCTCAAATTTAAAGACCACGCTCTTGAATAAAGTACGGAATAACCCCCATATGTATTGTGCATCACACTGCAGCAGTCACGTCCGTGCGGCTGCAGTGAAAAAAGCTTTCTCTCGCTTTCCTTCTCATACTACCTGCCACTTTCCCTCTAATCTTCCTGTGGTTATTTTTCTCCCGGCCGTTTTAAAAACATTTTAGGCTAGTAAAAGTTGAAACATCGCTCTGTGCCGCTGCAGAATGTAGTGGACTCGCGGGAGCGCGCAGCTGGCGGTCCGCTCCGGGGCTCAGTCTGCATTTCATCCAACT